AAACCAGAAGAACACTTGACTGTTGTCGGGACAGTAAAATAAAATGCAGCATGAGCGAATACGCGCGGCTCACTAATTTTATAATAGGCCATTTCCGAGTTCCCCCAGGCCTCGGTATCAAAACGAGGTTGAGTGCTCAGCCAAATAAAACTCATTTTCACAAGAAAGGTTGTGCACTTGGCCTTATTTTGAAAGTGAGGCGGTTTGGAACTAGGAAGTGGAGTGGCCTATTACGTTTCATACGTTGTGGGTGCATTTGTGAGATAAAGATCAAATCGTGTGTCGTCATTGGCGATATCCAACGCACTCAAATTATATTCCCCGCAAAAAGGATAATTCAGTTCACCCTATACTACTTAGGCCCCCTACACAGTAATACACAGTTTTATGCGCCGTAAAACAAATAAAGAGGGGAGGGGGGGGTTTCAGAAAATGCCCTTCAAAGTGGAAAATGTAGATGTACCAAGAGGACAAAACAAACCGTTTTCAAAAACGCTGAGGTCAAAGCTACTATGAGCTTGGAGAGCGTAGACCACGGTCGCTAGCGCTATAGGACAATCAATCCAAACTAAGCTTTAAAAAAAAGGAAAAATGTTCGTAACACCACCAAAAAATATCCGGTATAGTGTAAAAAAACAACGGGCCGGGGCGACACAAGTGGTTCAACTCAATCAATCAATCAATCAATAAATTTATCAATCAATCAATCAATCAATCACATCGAACATCGTGGCGGCATGATTGGCCGAGAGGGCTTGGTGCACTCAATTCCAGTCCTCTCTCCGGGTTATTTACTTCCGTCTCAGTGGGTTCCAGTACTCGCTTCTACCGATTTACTTCCGCGACGGGCCGAATAGGTGTTTACATTACACTTAAGTATGGCAAAAAACCTATCCGATATCTGATGCTCCACTATTGAGATTGGCGAGGAGCAGCTTCGCTCCATCACAGAATTCGTCGCCGCCACAACCGTTCTTGTGTGTGAACAGAAGCCCTATCGAACACTGCCGATATTTAATATTTAGTTTTTTAATTAATTATTTCTGTACCCGCAAACGGTCTCTGAAACCGGAATCTGAAATCCGAGAATAGCCTAAAAAAAAAGACGATCGCAAGATAAGATTCTAAGATACGTGTTTGNACATCGAACATCGTGGCGGCATGATTGGCCGAGAGGGCTTGGTGCACTCAATTCCAGTCCTCTCTCCGGGTTATTTACTTCCGTCTCAGTGGGTTCCAGTACTCGCTTCTACCGATTTACTTCCGCGACGGACCGAATAGGTGTTTACACTACACTAAAGTATGGCAAAAAGCCTATCCGATATCTGATGCTCCACTTTTGAGATCGGCGAGGAGCAGCTTCGCTCCATCACAAAATTCGTCGCCGCCACAACCGTTCTTGTGTGTGAACAGAAGCCCTATCGAATACTGCCGATATTTAATATTTAGTTTTTTAATTAATTATTTCTGTACCCGCAAACGGTCTCTGAAACCGGAATCTGAAATCCGAGAATAGCCTAAAAAAAAAGACGATCGCAAGATAAGATACTAAGATACGTGTTTGTGCGTGTAAACGGAAGACAACGATAAGAAAACATTAGCATGGATGCTGAGCTTTCGACACGTTTAAAAAAAAAAACAAACAAACAAGACGCTTTGGGAGCGTATATTTGGGCGTCGATGTACTAGGCGTGTGTGAAGTTTTTTATGCGTATTAGGGATGTGTGAGTAGTGCAGTAGCGTTGTGTATTTTAGGAGTTGGTAGAAGATGCGTGAAGTGGAAGGCGTGGAGTTATATTGGACGTGAATAAAAAAACAAACAAGACTCTTTGGGAGCGTATATTTGGGCGTCGATGTACTAGGCGTGTGTGAAGTTTTTTTTATGCGTATTAGGGATGTGTGAGTAGAGCAGTAGCGTTGGTATTTTAGGAGTTGGTAGAGATGCGTGAAGTGGAAGGCGTGGAGTTATATTGGACGTGAATTGGTAAAATAATGGCTGTAGTTTGTTGATCAGTGGAACTTGTTTCTCGTAGAATTTAATATGAAGTAACAAAAAATAATTCTTTTGGGAGGCAAAAGTGATTTTAGGTGTTGCAGTGAGGTTGTTGTGGAAGTGCTAGTTTGGTTTAAAAGGAATAGTTTAGTTACTGTGTGTCGAAATGAAGTGGTGGTTGTCAAATGTCTTAGCAATAGTCGAAAACATACTTGTAGTTATTTTAATCGTCGTTAGTCTTTCTGTTTAGGATTGCTTTTCGCTTATTTTTTGATAACATTTGTATGGAGAGAACATGGATAAGGCCAAAGGTTCATTTAATATAGAGAAGGGGTTATGAAGTAGTTGAGGGGGGAGGGGGGGTTGAAATTTTGTGTGTGTACTCGGGGGCTTTGAAAAATCGGTGAGGTCAAGGGAAGGGAGTAAAATCTGGCTATAGAACTAAGGGTCTGATTACGTGGGGCGGGCTGGCTTGCTTTGCAGAGATCCCGGCACCTTAGTTAAACGCAACAAAAATCAACTTTGCGATTATATGACAACCGAGCCAACCCGGTTAGCTGGGATCCCAGTATTGTGATGCCGGGATACCGGCTGGAAATTTTCCAAGTAATCACGCTTGCCGGCTTGCCCAGCGAATGAACCAAGCGAGAAACAGGACAGCGGGTAACACACTGTTCACGCCCATTGCTTCCCCGGCTCATGTGATCAGGCCCTTACGAGGAGTTGTATTGTCACGCAGATTGCCTTGAAAGCTTTGGAATTTGCCGCTTTCGTGGTTCGTGTATGAGAGAATACGACTTAATCTAATTAACCCAAGGGTTTTGAAAATAGAACGCGGTTTGCACTTGAAGATGTTGGACTCTGCCCCTTTTACTGTTCGACCGTGAAAGAATTCACCTTGTTTACGAGGTCATTTTGCTCAATACGTTTTTAAGAAATCACCTCTTTTCCGAGACATCTTCTTTGGCGCTCGACAACTGAGAGCAAAAATATTGTCAAACTCCGGACAATAACCCAAACCATTCACACCGTGTGCTGCGAAGACTATTATTTTCCAAAGGGAAAATTTAAATAATTTAATAGTTTGTTTCAGTCAGTGTACCTTGTTTTTCCAACAAGTTTGTTTTCTATTGCCGATCTGTTTGCCGTGCGTTATCTGTGGGTCGTATGTAACGAAGATAAATGCTGTGTTGTGACACAGCGCGCAGCAGACATACGCGTCGCTTGCGTGCCAATTGCAACTTTGAATCAAAACAGGCAAACTCGATTACTCTATTTAGGCGATGTCCAAATATCAAGGAGGCTTAGGCCCTGTTCACAGGTATACCTTTTCTTTAAAAACGAGAACAAGTTTTATTCTGCTGTTTGACCTACCGTCTACACGTATCCAGTCAAAACGTTCCCCGAAAACGCATCTTTTTCAAAGACGCTTTCCAGAAAGCAGATTTTTGAAAACCGCCGGCTTATCGTTTAAGTGTGGACGGACGAAAACAGATGTTTTCGATACCATGACGTCATACATCATACGCAGCGTACCCTGTAAGGTGTTCAATCTTAGTTCCATCGTTTTAGCGTTTTCGTGTAGACTTGCGAAAACGATTTGAAGAAGTTACGTGTGCACTCGTATTTTTTTGACAACAGAGAAAAAATCTCCGTTTGTCAAAACATCCGGATATTAGTGTGCGAGGTCGCAATGAAAACCCATTAATGTGAGCAAGAAACTTGAGTAAATGACAGGTGTCAAAGGCATTATTTGTTATTTGAAGCAATAGAAAAATTAAAACTAGAAATACGTGTTTAGCAACTCGGTTTCTACATTTTACCCATGCAGCTGCTGATAATTGAGCTTAACCATTAACAAAGTGGGGCAAAAAAAAAAAAAAGAAGCAAAATATAACATTAAGCTAGGCCAAACTCCAGTTAGTCATTAAAAAGACTATACAGTTCGTAATGTCGACTTTCAGACATTCAGGCCTAATTAATTAAACTGCTGACTGTGAATACTATATACGAACACAGGTTTTTTCGGAAAATATGTAAACTCTATATATTTACTCCCGTCGCGATTATTTTTACGCCTTGGCGCAACAGCCTTGTTAAAACGTTTTGCATGTTAACTGCAGCACAAAAACGGAAGAAACCATAGCACAAATTAAAATAAAGTTATCTACTTTTTGATCTTGAAATAATCAACTGTAAGATCACATCTTCAAAGCAAACAAACTAACTGTCAGTTAGATCGAACAAGATCGAAATGAGCTGCAAAAAAATTGTCAAGATTTTCAAAAATTCTTTTTCTTCCTCAGTTTGAATTGTTTGCTGAGAGGATCCGTGAAAAGCGGCCTTCTTTCATTTGCTTTGTGCCTCCACGGATTCCCTGGTGACTATTTGATGTGCGGAGAAGATGTTACATCGGGGGGTTGATGTAGGGAGAACAAAAAAAGAATAAAAAAGAACAGTTTGGCTCTGCTTTAATTGAAGTTGTGATAGCTTTCCCTCTCCGTCTTTTTAGGGAAGGGTTATGAAGGGATGATTTTCCACTTAATAGCAAGTTGATTAATTCGATATAAAAACTTTAAATCCCTGCTCAAGTCTTTACGTGTCTCCGGTTAGTTCGCTAGTTGACTAACAGTCAATACGGAACCGAAAAAATTAATTTAAGCCCATTTTATGAACTATTAACCAGCGCAAGGTCAAGATAGCAGTTTAGTGACCAATCAGAACTGGGATTAATTAAAAGGACCAAGAGGTTTAGTTCATTCCTCGATCTCCTACGTTTCAAAAACACTAGACTGCCGAACATTTGTGGCCTTTGCCGTTCGTTATTTCAACTGAAACAACAGCCAGTTTTGCAAACCGCTCGAAAACCTTTCACTTTGGGAGACTTAGTAACTTCTGAAACGATGAATATTTGAATTTTATATATATGAACTTTGCGAGCGGAGTCCTTGCGCCTCAAATCCTTTCCTCAAATGTACAATGTTGTTTAACTGCAAAATCTCTGACGATGGAAAATAACAAGGACATCACCTCATCATACATCACCACTTGTGTTTTGAACGCTTTCTTATCTTACATCGCTGTTACATTGAACTGTTTGACGATCTACGCCTTAACAAAAGTCTCATCACTACCAAGACCTTTAAAAACGCTGCTTTTAAGTCTGGCTGTTTCTGATCTGGGTGTTGGTTTGATGGTGCAGCCTTCGTACATTGCGACTCTTGTCATGGAAATGGAGCAAAAAACTGAAAACAATCCAGCTCATAACATAAGCGACCAATTTTTAAGGTTTACGCTGAATCTGTTTGGTTTTGCTTCATTCCTCGGAGTAACTTTCTTAAGTTTGGATAGATTCCTAGCTGTTTACCTTCACCTCAGATATCAGGAACTTGTGACCCACAAACGTGTTTCTGCGGCGGTTTTTTCTATGTGGGCTTTCAGCGCAGTGTTATCGTTTATGAGACTGTGGATCTCGGCACAAATTCTTTACATAATTTTTGTAATTATTTATATCTTTTTTCTTTTAACTATGACGGCCCTTAATTACAAGATTTATATAGCTGTACGCCATCACGCGAACCAAATTCAAGCTTCTCTCCAAGCTATAATGGCTCAAAATAGCGGAGCTGAAATGAGATACGCTGCAGCTGCAAGTAGGAGAACATTTGGAATCGGAGCATTGTTGATATATCTTGCTTTTTCAATTTGTTATCTGCCGAACGTGTTTGCCTTAATTATTTTTCTTTTCTCATCAACAGGCACCTCTCGCGGTTTTTTAGACCTCTTCAGTTTGACTTTGTTGTTTCTTAACTCCACAGTAAATCCATTAATTTACTGTTGGAAACTGAGACAAATTCGACAAGCTTTCATTAATGTACTACGGAGCATGCGCGTGAATAGCCTGATAACGAGGTGTTGCTAAACCTTGGTTGAGCCGATGCGTTTCGGGTCATGTGGTCGGATTTAACCGGACAGCTGCATAAGCCGGGGAAATATTGGTCCAAATTTTAAACTTTCTAGGTGATAAAAAACGAATTTATTCAATCGCTTTTTAGACTGAGACCTGAGTTCCTAAAAATACTAACAGACAGCCATGAAACAGTATGAAATTTGAAATGACAGCTGATGAATCAAAAACAATTTAAATGATAATTAAGGCTCCCATCCCAACTGAACTTGTTTAAATGATAGAAAAAACGCTCACATTTTGAAGAAGTTTTTCCCAAGGCAAACCAGTGAAATTAAACGTATCTGAAATCAGGGCCTCTCTGAAATAGATCTATAATTATAGGTTGAACATAGCTGTTTTTTACCCAGTCAAAAATCACTAGCAGAAAGCAACCTAAAACAAAATCGGTATCCTTGTGAATTAACAGTTATTTTCCTTTGGAAATAATTATTGCAAACCTTTTTACACTGAATAAGGCATATGATGTTGAGTTAAGCTGCTGGAGTGAGTTTTGTGCACCATTAACAGTTGTTTACTCCTCTATTTCTTGAATTAATGTCATGTCATCATTTCATTGTTCTGTCAGGCTTATTTCATGTTTGTTTTTATAAGAGAACAATGATTAAAGGTTCGTGAAAGCAGTTGTTCAGGTCTATTCTAATCACATGTTAACAATAGCGGCTTAGCATCGAACAGGTGTTTCGAAAAGCAATGAAAAACTGTAGTCTGTAGTGGTCTATACAGGGGCGTGGCTACCAGGCCTGACCAAGGGCCCAAAACTGAAGAAAGCAAAGCCCAATCTAGTTCCCGGCGACTTGTCGTTTCCATTATGGCGGAAAGGTTGAGAAGACCAATGAAATAATTGTCAAGGTTGTCTGATGAGGGTGACCTGTTCAAATGGGATTTGCGGGTGAATTAAGCAACAACGAGAAACCCCTGTTTTTGAACATGTTAAAAATAAAATGATAACTAGAAGTTAACCGCAAAAACCGTGGACAATGATCCTGCTGGTTGTCAATGTTGGATCTCTAGAAACGAGATCTAATCAGCTTAAATATCAAGAACAAAAATCGAGAAGTCCAAATATTACTGCAAAGCTGATAACAGGTTTACAGTTGTTTCTGAGTTTATAATGGCAATTACAATAGATGGAGGATGTCGCAATAATGAATGTCCCCCTCTCCCTTTTAAACAATATTAATTTTTTCGCGACATTCTCCATCTATATAATATTTAATTCCTATCATAAATTCAGTAACATCTGTTAACGTAAGGAAGACTGATATAGCCAGCCGAAATGTTGTAGCCAGTGAACAGGCTCTCTGTTTGGTGAAAAAAATTAGGCCTGGCCTGTTCACAGGCGAAAATGTTGCTCTTAAAAAGCAATACACGTCGTAATCAGCTTTGCAGTAGCCTTTGGACTTCTGGTTTTTTTTTGTTACAAATAAAATCCCGTTTTCGAATTAATGACTCACCGAATGACTACAAATAGTATCAGTGGATGGACTGGTATTGAATTTCACTAGAAGACATAATTTACACACTTTCAATCTGAGTGAACCGAAATCAAATGATTACTGTCTTTATAAGACGGACACCTCTCCAAGACGGAAAATGGTCACTTTTGAAACCGTTAACGGACACTTGAGAGAAGTGCTTTACGCAGTGCAAAATATCTCAAAACGGAAATGTAGGTGCTCTACATGACAGTAAATTGTTAAATCTTTATTATCTCGTAGTCTTGCTCCAGTTCACAGAGTATATATTGTTACGGTTTTAGACCACGAAGCTGTAAATGTTTGCTTTCTCCCTTTCTGAATGAATATTTGATGAGGGTCTGAATGGGGCGGGGGGGGGGGGGGGCCACTGAAATGAGATACGCTGCAGCTGCAAGTAGGAGAACATTTGGAATCGGAGCATTGTTGATATATCTTGCTTTTTCAATTTGTTATCTGCCGAACGTGTTTGCCTTAATTATTTTTCTCTTCTCATCAACAGGCACCTCTCGCGGTTTTTTAGACCTGTTCAGTTTGACTTTGTTGTTTCTTAACTCCACATTAAATCCATTAATTTACTGTTGGAAACTGAGACAAATTCGACAAGCTTTCATTAATGTACTACGGAGCCTGATAACGAGGTGTTGCTAAACCTTGGTTGAGCCAATGCGTTTCGGGTCATGTGGTCGGATTTAACCGGACAGCTGCATAAGCCGGGCAAATATTGGTCCAAATTTTACACTTTCTAGGTGATAAAAAACGAATTTATTCAATCGCTTTTTAGACTGAGACCTGAGTTACTAAAAATACTAACAGACAGCCATGAAACTGTATGAAATTTGAAATGACAGCTGATGAATCAAAAACAATTTAAATGATAACCATCCCAACCTACACCATCTTAGATATTTAGTTTAATTAATTGTATCCTACTGAACTTGTTTAAATGATAGAAAAAACGCTCACATTTTGAAGAAATTTTTCTCAAGGCAAATCAGTGAAATTACACGTATCTGAAATCAGGGCCTGTCTGAAATAGATCTATGATTATAGGTTGAACATAGCTGTTTTTTACCCAGTCAAAAATTACTAGCAGAAAGCAACCTAAAACAAAATCGGTATCCTTGTGAATTAACAGTTATTTTCCTTTGGAAATAATTATTGCAAACCTTTTTTACATTGAATAAGGCATATGATGTTGAGTAAAGCTGCTGGAGTGAGTTTTGTGCACCATTAACAGATTTTTACTCCTCTATTTCTTGAATTAATGTCATGTCATCATGCATTTCATTGTTCTGTCAGGCTTATTTCATGTTTGTTTTTATAAGAGAACAATGATTAAAGGTTCATGAAAGCAGTTGTTCAGGTCTATTCTAATCACATGTTAGCAATAGCGGCTTAGCATCGAACAGGTGTTTCGAAAAGCAATGAAAAACTGTAGTCTGTAGTGGTGTATATAGGGGCGTGGCTAGCGGACCTGACCAAGGGCCCAAAACTGAGGAAAGCAAAGTCCAATCTAGTTCCCAGGGCCTTGTCGTTTCCATTACGGCGGAAAGACCCTGCGGAAAGGTTGAGAAGGCCAATGATAATAATTTTCAAGGTTGTCTGATGAGGGTGACCTGTTTCAAACGGAATTTGCGGGTGAATTAAGCAACAACAAGAAACACCTGTTTTTGAACATGTTAAAAATAAAATGATAAAGAAGTTAACCGCAAAAACCGTGGACAACGATCCGGCTGGTTGTCAATGTTAGATGTCTAGAAACGAGATGTAATCAGCTTAAATATCAAGAACAAAAATCGAGAAGTCCAAAGATTAATTACTGCAAGGCTGATAACAGGTTTACAGTTGTTTCTGAGTTTGTAATGGCAATTACAATAGATGGAGGATGTCGCAATAATGAATGTCCGCCTCATTTTTTTGCGACATTCTCCATCTATATAATATTTAATTCCTGTCATAAATTCAGTAACATCTGTTAACGTTAAGAAGAGTGGTATAGCCAGCAGAAATGTTGTAGCCAGTGAACAGGCCTTCTCGGTTTGGGGAAAAAAATAAGGCCTGTTCGCATGCTAAAATGTTGTTCTTAAAAAGCAATAAACCTTGTAATCTGCTTTGCAGTAGTCTTTGGACTTCTGTTTTTTTTTTGTTAAAAATAAAATCCCGTTTTCGAATTAATGACTGACCGAATAAATACAAATAGTATCAGTGGATGAACTGGTAATGAATTTCACTAGAATACACAGTTTACACATTTTCAATCTGAATGAACCGAAATCAAATGATCATTGTCTTTATAAGACGGACACCTCTCCGTCCAAGACGCACAACGGTCAGTTTTGAAACAGAAAACGGGCATTTGAGAGAAGTGCTTTACGCAGGGCAAAATATCTCACAACGGAAATATAGGTGCTCAACATGACAGTAAATTGTTAAATTTTTATTATTTGGTAGTCTTGCTCCAGTTCCCAGAGTATATATTGTTACGCTTTTAGACCATGAAGCTGTAAATGTTTGCTTTCTCCCTTTCTCAATGAATGTCTGATGAGGTCCTGAATGGGGGGGTCCACATGTCAGTTGTCGGTTAAAATTTTCGACCTTTGTCGGTTGTCGGTAAATCTAGGTTAATGATTAAGAAAAAGTTAATTATTACTATTCGTCATTTAATCCACACAGTTTAAACTCTTTACAGGGGTGACACTTCTTCATTCCGCGTAGATTAATCATTTGATTACAATGGAAAGTACTTCCCAGTTCACAGAAGAGCGAATTAATCGAGAGAAATAAGTGGTCGAAGGGGAAACGCCCACGGCTAGTTTTTGAGATGAGTCGGCTTTACGTTAAGTTATTTTTAGTGACTGAAGTCTGTTTCCGGGAAGTGAGCGTGCGCTTTCCTGGATTTTCTCGGAAAATGAGGCGAAACAAGAGCCATCACTAGGCTCCTGCTCATGTATAAGCTAAGGTAACATATCATCAATT